ACCAGTCCGTATATATCTATACAGACCGGGATCGATCCGTATATGCCCCTGAACAACAGCTTTTTATTTTTTCTGTTATTTCATGCTTAAGTCGTTCTACTCTCGTTTTAAACTGTAACATTCCGAATGTTTGTAAGCCAAAGTGGTTAATCTATATAAAAAAAATTAATTTTATTTGCTTATGACTCCGAAAGAGTATTACGTAACATTATCTCTAATAACCTTCAACTTATACGTTCGTGGTTTTGCAATAATATTATTCTGTACCATCGTAAGATAATTTCAGGTAGACAATCGATGGTTTTCCGGTTCCAAAGGACTGTAGGGTCGATGTACATGCAATTGGTTTTTGTAGGAATGGATTTAGGACACGAGAAGATGGTAATGTTCTTAAATGAAAAGAATAAAAATGTGCACTGGGAGAAGTTTCTGGATTTTTTCTAGTATATTTGGACCAAAATTGGTTTGAAAATGAAAAGCATGGAAGCTTCTGGATTCTTTGCATATATTCAGACCAAAACCGGTCCATATATATATATTCATACTTAATTTAATTTAGCTCTAAGATAAAAAAATCCCTTGAGTACCTAAATTTGGACCGATACCGGTCCGTATATATCTATACGGACCAAAATCGGTCCATATATGCCTCTGAACAACAGCTTTTTATTTTTTTTGTTATTTCATGCTTAAGTCGTTCTACTCTTGTTTTAAACCGTAACATTCCGAATGTTTACAAGCCAAAGTGATTAACCTAAATAAAAAAATTTAATTTTATTTGCTTATAACTCCGAAAGAGCATTACGTAACATTATCTTTAATAACCTTCAACTTATACGTTCGTGGTTTTGCAATAATATTACTCCGTATCATCGTAAGATAATTTCAAGTAGACAATCGATGATTTTCTGGTTCCAAGGGACTGTAGGGTCGATGTACATGCAATTGGTTTTTGCAGGAATGGATTTAGGACGCGAGAAGATGGTAATGTCCTTAAATGAAAAGAATAAAAATGTGCACTGGGAGAAGTTTCTGGATTTTTTCTAGTATATTCAGACCAAAATCGATTTGAAAAATGAAAAGCATGGAAGCTTCTGGATTCTTTGCGTATATTCAGACCAAAACTAGTCCGCATATATATTCATACTTAATTTAATTTAGTTCTGGGCTAAAAAATCCCTCCGATTGCCTATATTCGGACCGATACCGATCCGTATATATGTATACGGACCGGGATCAGTCCGTATATTCCCTTAAACAACACTTTTTATTTTTTTTTTTTGTTATTTCATGCTTAAGTCGTTCTACTCTCATTTTAAACCGTAACATTCCGAATGTTTGCAAGCCAAAGTGGTTAACCTTAAGAAAAGAAATGAATTTTATTTGCTTATTACTCCGAAAGAGCATTACATAACATTATCTCTAATAACTTTATTCAGTACCATTATATTCGTGGTTTTGCAACGATATTATTCAGTACCATTATAAGAAAATTTTAGGTAGACAATCGATGCTTTCGTGGTTCAAAGGAATTGCAGGGTCGATGTACATGCAATTAGTTTTCACAGGAATGAATTGAGGACACGAGAAAATGGTGATGTCCTTAAATGAAAAAAATAAAAATGTGCTCTGTGAATTTTTTCCCAATATTTTCGGACCAAAATCGGTCCGAATATATTAATGTGATCAATTGTGTTGTCAATACATATACGGACCGAAATTGGTCCGTAATTAATTTATGCGCCAAATTTTTATCGTGAATTTGAATCTCTATGATTCTGCACTAATTTATTTATATTCAGACCGATTTCGGTCTAAATATTATTAATGTGCCAAAAATTTTCCCGAAAAAATTGAAATTTTTTGTTGTGGGGCGCCAATAAGGATTATAACGGTCCGTATAAGCCTTATGGTCCGTAATTAATTTATGCGTTAAATTTTTACCGTAAATTTGAATCTTTGTGATTCTGCGCTAATTTATTTGTATTGAGACCGATTTCGGTCTGAATATTATTAATGTGCCAAAAATTTTCCCGAAAAAATTGAAATTTATTGTTGCGGCATGCCAATAAGGATTATACGAACCGAAAATGGTTTGTATAAGCCTTATATATATCACCACTTCTCTTCCTTTTGCTCATTTTCTCTTCTTCCTCTCTTTCTTTTCCTTTCTTCCTCTCTTTCTTTTCTCTTTTGCCTCCTGTCTCCTTCTTTTTCTTACCGTTTTTTTTCTACTTCTTTTTCTTTGTCATTTCCTCTCTTCTTTTCTCTCTTCCCTTTTCTTTCTCATTTCCTTCTATTTCCTTTTCTTTCCTCTCTTTTTTCTCTCCACTTTTTCATCTTTTCTTTCCTTTTTTTTTTCTTTTTTCTGTTTTTCATATGTATTTTTTAAAATTTTTTGTTGTCTTTTTGTATTGGTTTATTTGTATTTTTTATAATATGTTTATATTTCATTAACTAACTTTTGTTTCTTTTCTTTTTTTTTTTGTAGGTTACATTTGGTGAAATTTAAAATTTTTCATATATATATGTTTATTC